AATGGCCAATTCAGTCACCTGAAAACCAATTGAACATGCATTTAATTTATTGAAGACTACACTTCGAACAGAAAAGCCCAAAAACAAACAGCAAGTGAAAGCAGCTGCAGTAAAGGACTAGCAGAGCTTTAAAAAGGATGAAACCCAGCATCTGGTGATGTCCGTCAGTTCAAGATTTCAGGTTGTCATTACCAGTAAAGGTTTTTCAATCAAGTATTAGAAATAGACATTTTATTTTTAGTTATTTAACTACTTAATTTGTCTAATTACTTTTGAGCCCCTGAAATGAAGGGATTGTGTTAAAAAATGCTTTAGTTCCCCACATTTTTATGCAGTCTTGGATTACCAACAGACTGGTAATCTGTTGGGGTTTTTTTTTTACCTTCTTCAGGCCAGTTAGCCTTCACTCCATGTACTTTAAATCTCACTGCACATCTGTCATTCGTCTTTGCAGATGCCTTCGCACAACCTACCTCCTCCCCATCTCTGCCTCTCATTACTCAGGCTCCATTCAAGCCTCGATCTTCATCTCCTTCACCAATTTCTAGTCTCTGGGGGGTCCTGCCCTAATCCCTATCCCTGCTGGGATTCCGTTCTGCTGTGATGGGCCAACTGGGTCTAATCACCAAATACCTCAAATTGTATTCTGTACATCAACAAATCATGTTCAATTCCAGACCGCAGCTCTTTACCAGCTCTTTCTGTTTAAAATGTCCAGATTTGGGCACAATTGTGCCCTGCCCTGGTCCAGTTGCTTCCCTCCCAGACAATGGGTACAATAAAAGATGGTGGACTTTATCGTGTCCTCTAAGAGTTTCAGGTGAACCTGAATAAACTGTCTCACCATTGTTTCCGAGTCCTCTTCTGCCTTCTCTGGGATGCCTATCAATGCTGCAGGCCTGGAGCTCGATAACAATTTCTTTGAGGTTTTAAAATGTTCTTGTGAGAGTTGGGTCATTCCATTTGTGGGTGATGTCACTAACTGTAGGTCTTGAGTTTTTGTCAGCAAGTGTTTTCACCTGCTGCAAACGATACTCCATAGAGACTCGCAGAGTTTGAAACTCTATGTTAAGGAATTCCATTTAACAGGTTTGCAGAGCAAAACACAAACTGTTTGTGTGCAGTAAGTCACAGAGTGTGTCTGCTACTGTAGCTAAAGGTACAGCTACTGTAGGGAGAATGGAGAGAAAAGAACAAAAGATAACTTCACTCACAGATGGAGAAAGTTGTTGGAAAGATAGGGCAAGACAGGAAGAAGAGAGGTTAGATTTAAAGGTAAGGTGCTCGTGGTCAGAGTTAGGTTACATCAAGTGGAGCAGCGATAAATTTGAATTTAAACTGATGGTACTTAGAATCATTCACTGAATTCCACCATCATACCAACTTTATACCAACTAGCATAAAG